ACCTGGATTCTGTTGGCCTTGGTGTTAGAGACTACAACACTGAGAATAGAATCCTTTAGCAAAACGACAAGCTAGTCTGGACTAGAGTATAATATATGGTATAGACCCCTTTTTGACTTAAGTTATTAACCTTGAGGTTCTTTAATTATCTGGAAAGAAAAATTTCTGTAGGAAAATAGCTTTTCTGTGATTCAGGGACCATATTATTATATAGAATAGACTTTATTTATATGTTTTCTCAAAGGAGAGCCTTTTTAACTCAGTTTGATACTGAAAATGGTACAATCCTGATTGTACCTTATGAATGTGTTGTATTTCTCTGGATGATTCAGTGGGCTTTTTTTGTTTGTTTGTTTGTTTTTGTTGGTTTATTTGTTTTTTTCTCAGTTAAGTTATTGTGCTGTGGTGGCTAGGTTTTCTTCAGAATGCTTGTATGTTATTGATTTTAATCAACTTCATCTAACAAAAACCACATACACAAATCTTTTTGAGATACAGCTTTTACTCCATATACTCATCTCTATTGTGAGTATAATTAAAGTTATTTGAGGCCACACCCTTAGTCTTCTTTCTAGGAAACATCTTATCCCACTGAAAGAATCTGCCTGGCACTACCTTAATCCTCTTAGGGATATTTTTACAGCTTATCTTTTCACAGCCTTGTTTTAATAACTTCGGTTTTTATTTTAGATACATAGGGTCCAAGTGCAGGTTTGTTACATGAGTATATTGCTCTTAGGGATCTGGATAAGTGGTATGACAGCCACACTCTGGTTTGGAGCTTGCCCTGAGACTGAGGCTTAGTGGCCTTTCTAACTCAAGGTTTTCTTAATTTTTAACTTTACTGTAGAGGATAAAAGAAGTTTCATTTTCAACCTCTTTAAACTCCAGTATTTTGGATAACCCCACATTCTTTTGCATTTCTGCTTGCAAACTAATTAGTTCATTACTGAGCTCATCTCTTTCTCAAAGCACACAGTCAAATGCAGCTGGAAAGAACCAATTCACGCTATCTACATTCTGCCTCAGAACCTCCTTGCCCAAATCTCTGTTTCTTATGTATTTTTTCTTGCTATCTATGTTGCTTCAGGTGACAGATTTACCAAAATTTTCCCAGCATATTACATAGGTTTTCATTTTTAAAATTCAGTCTCCTATTGTGGTTTCCTAGTTGGTTTCCAAAAAGTTTCAAAATAATGTCACATTTTAAAGATTTTATTATAGCCAGTATCCTTGCAATAATATTGTTCTTGCTCAAGAGTCAAGTTTTCTTAGGTGACTCTGCTTCAAGTTGTGGTTCGGGTTTATTTCTGATCCAAATGTCTCTCATTATAGGTCCACGGGGTATCCAGGACACACATTTTCTATAGTGGACAGGAGATGCTCAGAATAAGTGAGAGGGAATGTTCAGTGTCTGTTAAAGCCACAGCTCATCGCAGATATCGTGCCATTTTCTCCCATATTCTATTTGCAAAACTAGTTATCTGGACAAGCCCGCATGAATGGGATGGGGAAGTATTCTTTGCTCATGATGGACCACAGCAAAGGAAGGAAGAATGTCAGCAACTGATAGAATTTACTAGAGAGAAAATGGTCTAGGATATTACTCTCTGGAACATGCAGCTATTGAAGTTTTCAGGGAAAACAATCTTATGCACACCTATTGCTGCTAACATTGCTGATGATCAACATTACTGTGGCAATTTAGTGAAAAAGCCCTAAATAATGTTGGCTTCTGAACACTTGCCTAGAATTGGCTGATTCTACCTTTTCTCTTTTTGAAAAATTATGTATACTTTTGTGCTTCCAAAATTTTTGAAACTTCCACATTTTCTCTAGAGTTCACAAAATCGCTGACAATGGACGGTTGTTATATAGGTGAATTTTAATTTATTTGTTTTATTTTTTAAGTATCCCAAACCATGGTCAATTCTTCTCAACATTTTTATGTGTTGAAACTTCAAATTTTCAGATAAATTGAAAGCTTGGTTCAATTGTGCCCATGAGAGTCTGATCGGGAAAACAGAGGTACACTCATTATTTTAGCAGAAAGAATTCAGCATAGGAGATTTGTTCAACAGACACTGGAGGACTAAAACCTAGATGCAAGGAAAAGGGGTCCACAGAGTTTATAGCCAAACTTCAAAAGGCAGAGCAGGTGCTGCCCAGCTGAAGCTAACATGCTGGGGGCTTGGAGGAGGCTCCTTGTGAAGATGGGGCAAAGGCAGGCTGGAAGATGGCAATGAGTCCCGTTCTTTGACTGTCTGAGAAAGGAAACTGGAACCAAGTGCTACTGGGAAACAACTGCCTATTAGGCTGAAGAATTGCTGGGGGGATGCCGCAGGAACAGCAAGTAGACAGAAAGCTTCACATTGCTTATCTCTCTTGCAGCCTTCAGTCTCTCCTACCACTCTAGCGTGGGAGCCTAATGTGGGGACTGCTGGCTAAGGAGAAATAAGGTTCCCTGAGTTTCAACCCAAGCATCATAAACAACATACAAAGATGTGGTGCTGGGATCCAATAATAAATACCTCTGTGCTCTTTACTTATTTTATCAGTTGATAAAATTCTGTGTCATTTGTTTATCTGTTTATCTACTTTTTTGGGGGAAGAATTTGAAAGTGATGATACTAACAAAAAAAAAAAAAAGAAACAAGAAGAAGAAAGTGATGATACTTTATCTCCAAGTACTTTAACAGGTGTTTCATAAATGACATAACGTCACTAACACATATGATAAAAACTAACAAAAATTCAATCCTTACGTCACAATACAGTCTATATTAAAACATCTTCAACTGTCCCCAAAATACCTTCCTTGTGTAACTGCTTTTGTCCCCTTGATTCAGGATCCAAACAAATTCTGTACATTGCATTAACTGTTAAGCTTTTTGAATCATCGAAATATTTTAAATGGCATTAAAAATGTTAGAGTCTCAGTCATTTTTTTTATTTTTTTACAGAATGTTCCTCATTATGGATATTTAAAAGGTATTTTCTATGTGCAGAATTTGGAAATGATACTACAAAGATAGTGTTACATAATTTTATTTCAACATATGAGGTAGATGTTGTCTGCTATTATTGGTAATATTTATTGGTAATACTAGATTTGATCACTTAAGTGGTGATAGCCTGGCACTTTCATTGTAGAAGTACATTTTCCCTTTTATAATTACTAATTAATATATGAGATGAAACTTCAAGATCATGTGATTATTGTATTTCCCAGCAACTTTTTATGAATGACTTTAGTATCTACCAATGATACTTGCCTGAATTAATTATTATTTTAGGGGTTGCAAAATAGTGACATTTTTCCTATTATTCTACATTTATGTGATGGCTAATTTTATGTGTCAACCTTGACTTGGCCATGGAATGCCCAGATAGCTGATTGAACATTGTATCTGGGTGTGTCCGTGAGGGTGTTTCAGGAGGAGATGAGCCAGTGGACCAAATGAAGCAGGCCTCCTCCCAATGTGAGTGGACATTACCCAACCCACTGAGGGCCTGAACAGAGCAAAAAGGAAAGAAAGAGGAAGGTTAAATTCATTCCATCTGACTACATGAGTTGGGACATTAACCCTCTCCTGCCCTCAGTGCTCTTAGTTCTCAGGTTTCCAGACCCAAACTGGAACTGGAATCTGTACCATCAGCTTTCTGAATCTCCGGCATGTGAACTACACCATTGGCTTTCCTGGGTCTCCAGCTTCCAGAGGGCACATTGTGTGCCTAATCAGCCTCCACAATATCATGAGCAAATAACTTATAAAAACCTCTTCATATATCACGTATATCGTGTGTGTATATATGAAGTAGAAAATATATATTTACAAATATATAATATAGTATATTATATAATACATATGTATTATATATAATATATAATATATATTATATATAATTATATATTATATGTATATTATATAATATAATAATATAATATATGTATATAATATATAATAATATAATATATACATATATAATATACACATATATGTATATATACATATATATGTATATACATATAATATATAAATATTTTTAAATATATTATATATTATAAACCTGAATATAGGATATATAAATATATTATATGATATATTTATAAATATATTAGATATTATAAACCTGAATATAGGATATATAAATATATTATATGATATATTTATAAACATATGTAATATATTTATAAATTGATAATATATGTATAATATATATTTTTATAAATATTGTATATGTATGTATTTCCTGCTGGTTCTGTTTCTCTAGTGAACTCTGACTAATATAACTTATGAGCTGACTTTCTTTTTCCATTTTTCTCCTTTTTATCCCTGTTTTCTACATAATAATACAGACACACAGTTTTTTAAAATTCAACATGTTATAATCCACTTCCAAAATTAGTCTGTGTCAAATTATGGCAGATTTAGACAATAAGAGCTTTGTAAAGGTGGCTCCTGTGTTTCACTCAAATTTCTGATTTTAGTTTTAATTTCAAGTTACTCAAGTCACAGCGAAAATGTAGTTCTTTGAGCTATAGAGTGCCAAAACACAAGCAAGAAATCATACAAATGACACTTTTTTTAGTATTTACAAATTCAAGCATTATCTCCTTAAAAAGCTAAGGGGCTAAGCAAAATCAAAAGGTGGGAAAGGGAACTATGACCTGAACCCTTAATTGTTCAGTACTTTTCTGTCTGCCTTGCCCATCATGAGTTGTCCTCTGACTGTGAATATTCTAACGTTTCCAGGAGAGTCACAAGAAAGAGAGTACAAGGTTGTTCAATGACACTGGCTGGGGGGATGTAGCCGGCTGGCAGGGAGTATGGCAGTTCTGAGGAGTCTTATGTTAGTGTGGGACCCGGGAGTTATGGTACATCTCATTTTCTATTAGTTCAGTTACATCACGGAGTGACATCATTTGGGTTAAATTATTGAGAGTCACATTATTATTCTCTAATGTTCTCATGCTCACCATGTTTTTGTCTTCCTAGGTGAGGTGGCCATATGCTTAGTGGAGTATCTATTTCATTTGGGGTGACATACCAATGATTACAAGCAAACAAGAGGAGGCATTCTTCATAATATTTTGAAATACACATGACACCCTGCTGTATCCTTTATTCATGGTCCCCTAGGCTTTCAACACTTTTCTGCTTTTTGCCACCTAATGTTGCAGATTTATTGAGCCTTTCCCTGTCTCATATCTGGAATCAGCCATTTCTTAGAGAAGCCCGACTCCCTAGCATTTGGGAATCAAGATCTGAGAGCCATGTGTGTTCACTGCTTCTGTGTCATCATCAACTCTAGGCCCTTTCAGTAGAAAAGCAAGAAAATATTTGCATATTTAAGCCATGAGATCATTCTGACGTATCTAATTCAAATTTTACCTGGCAGGCTTTCCTTAGTTTAGTTTATTTGATATTTTTATTTTATTTTTCTTACAAGCAAAATCTTGGGTTCTAATGATATTAATGCACTTACTTATTTGCTTGTCTGTAGTAGAAGTAAACACTTTCACATTTTTCATAGCAATATTAATACTAACAAGAAACTTACTAAATGAAGATAAACATTTCTGGTGGTTCTTTTTGTCCTTAAACAATATCATACTAAAAGACTATATTCAGAGTACTGCCTTCAAAATTGTCTTGGATTATTTGGTTTCTCTGACTGGTTATGTCAAAAATTAAAATAGAGTTAGATTTTTACTAAAATAGAGTTAGCTTTGTATTTCTGTTTTTACTGAGTTTTCTATAACTCCATAACTATTTTTAGTCTAAAGATGTTTGCTTCTTTAAAAGTAGGGTATTGGCTGGGCACAGTGGTTCATGCCTGTAATCCCAGCAGTTTGGGAGGCTTAAGCAGGAGCATGACTTGAGCTCAGGAGTTTGAGATCAGCCTGCGCAACATAGCGAGACCCTGACTTTACAAGTAATAATAATAAAAAAAATTGGCCAGGCATAGTGGCATATACTGAGGTGGGAGGATCACCTGCATCCCGGCGGCTGAGGCTTCAGTAAGCGGTGATTGTGCCACTGCACTCCAGCCTGGGTGACAGAGCAAGACCTCATCTCAAAAAAGTTAAATTAAATTAAAACAGAGGATTGTTCCTCCTAATCACCTTCCATATCCTGGTTTTTATTCTCTTTTACTTCTTTCATCTGTTTATTCCAGTGAAAGAAATAATAATAATGATAGCACATATTGAGTACTTACTGTAATTCATGCATTTTTCATTCAATGCTACTAATAATGTACATGTAGAGAATAATAAGCACATGACAGATATGATTTTAAGTATACAGACGTATTCCAAGTATACATGTTAGGAGCATGGTTTAAGAAAAGAGTTATGGTAAATGGCTGAACTTTGCCATTTTTTAGCTTTTCAAGTTACTTACTTCATATAAGTCTTTGGTTTTTTCATCTGCAAAATAGAGATGGTAAGATTTTTTTCTTCATTTCAGGTTTAAATGAGTATAATTATCAAAGATCAAAAACTAAATATTTCAAAGATATTTTCAGATATTGCACTTCTTGGTAAAAATCATAAAGATAGAACACACGAAGATAAAGACAAATGTCAGTTTGGATTGGATCAACCACACCAGAGGCTCTGAATGAATAGACCCCTGGGGAGACATGGACAACCCTGGCACATGGTGCTCACTTGACAACTGGGAAAACGACAGCTATGTGCTAGGTGCTGACATATAGTTATCTGACATAATCATCATCACCCAAATCACTTTCAAATAATTATTATTAGTTCATGGTTCAACAACCAGTAAATCTAAAGGTAAGATTACACACTCCTCAGCCTGGTAGCAGAGCCTGAGGTCCTTCTACTAGAATCTTCCTTTTATAGCTAAAAGAATGCCTGGGGGCCATGGGCAATGCACGTGGTTTTCTAAGACACAATCATAAGACTATCTTTCCTGGGGAGGGCATTTGTACATTAGCAAATAAGAGAGTTACATTCACTGCAAACTCACAACTTTGCCTAAGTAGAAATGACCAGAGAATAAGAATCCACATTTGGAAAACTGAATAATAAAAATTCCCCTTTGTTCTGGGTCTGATCCTGTAGTGTACACTGATTATCTGCCAGGTTTCTCAGAATGATCAGGGAAAGTTGAAAACAGAACCACTTAATTCATTTAAAGATCAAAAGGGTGTGCATATGATATGATTTCATTAAGAATTAAATAATCCACATGATTTCAAGGTTAATGAGAAAAAACTACCCAACATATCTGCTTAAAATTCCCAGAAGGCATTTGAATGAGGAATAAAGGCCTTTAACTAAGAACAGACTCTACTAGGTTTAATAAGAAGTGATTTCCCCTAATTGCAATTTCCTTGAAAAAGATATTCAAGGCCTCAGAGTTTGACAGATTGTAGCAAAGAACTGGTGTAGGATGTTCAACTGGACAAAAAAAATGGGAGTTTTGAATTCAGCAAGCTCTACGATCTCTTGAATAGAGCCTACCAATTTTACTCTGTGCAGTGCAGGCCCTCGAAAATATCAAATAAAGTTGAAGAGCAAAATGTGTAGAAATTACTTAATTTGTTGATTACAATGGTTTTTCCCATTAGGTCTATTACTCAAGAACGAGGTTAATGACCTTGCAGGAGTCAGGAAGAAGCAAGAGACACTTCAGGGAGCTCAGAATACAAAGCCTGAGGATGAGAAGAGCATAATAAGAGAGCCGCACCCAGCTCAAAGGTGGAGACATCATGACAAGGTGATCTCAGGAGCAAACACGGGGATTCTGCACTCACTGCGAGCAGCGTGGGGATCTCATTCTGAGCCCTAACTCCTTCCAAGAAGTAGATAATTGAATACATCTCAGTTTGGAGTCATGGATTTATTTTTTCTTATTCCAGTTAAGAAAATCATTGGATTTTTAACATTTTGGGCCCGAAGTCTCACTCTGAAAATCTGATGAAAAATCATGATCATGCCACCAAAAAAAATGCACATAATCATACTCTAGCAAAATTTTGCTTGTAATTTCAGGTGTATATAATCTCAAAGCTTTCCTTCCTACTAGTTAGGGACCTCCACTTTATAGGACTAATAAAAGCAGGTAACTCTATTCTAGGGACTTACTCTGCGACACTCTTTGACATAGATCATCTAATTGAATCCTCATCACAATGACATAATGTGGGAATCTATATCTCTATTATCTAGAAGAAGCAAAGTACAAAAAAATTCAGTCATCTAGAAAGCGAGGGTGACTGTTAAGAAGTATGAGGCAGAGACATTATTGGTCTGCTTGGCACCCCTGTGGCCCCCGCTCCTTTTTATAGCTTCATGGAGTTATAGACAGCTAGAGATCAGTTCTGTCCAATGACTTGAGAGCAAATCAGAGTGTGTCATTTCTGGACCACAGTTAGAATCAGTTTGTGACCCACTAATTTCCTCCCCTACCCTGCTGACCCTGGAAGCTACTTGTTGAGATGGAGGACAGGTTTGCTGCTAAGAAATGCAAATCCTAATTGCCAATGATGTAAAACCACAAGTTTGTTTCTCACTCACTCTACCTGTACAAAAAAAAGGATGGTAGGGACCATGCCCATTGTAGTTACTCAAGTCCCCAGGCTGATGGTGGTCCATTGCGGCTCAAGTGCCCATGATTTCTGACATGGAAAATAAAATGTTGGATTATACACTCTACAATTCAACAATTCTAGGTCTGCCTCTCAGAAGTGATAAACATTACATTCCCTCTCATTTCATTGGCAAAGATATTCACTTGCTACTCTGATGGCTAGTATTCAGTTAAACACCAAACTACATGGCTGTGAAGTTACTTTGTATGTTTGATTCATATGTATAATCAGTTGACTTTAGCTAAAGGCAGTTATGCCTGATCATCTGGGTGGGTAGGCTCAGTGTAATCAGTGACAAGCCTTAAGAGCCAAACTGGGGTTTCCCTGAGAAAGAAGGAATTCCGCCTCAAGATTAGGGCCTGAGCTCTTGCCAAAGAGTTCATAGCTTGCCCACCTGCTCTACAAATTTTGGACTTAAAAACCCCTACAATGATGTAAGCCAATCCCTTGAAATAAATAAATACATATAAATGTAAGTAGATATCCTAAGGGTTCTATTTCTCTGGAGAATCCTAACCGATACAGCCACACTAAACTTCAGTAGGGCATATCTACTGGGCCTGGAAGTAGAAAATCTCTGATCAGCTCTAAGGAACACCAGAATGTCTGAGTCATTATCTTCCAGAAACTACTTGAGTTGCATTGGGTTCTGTGTGAAAGAAAAATAAGTTTACGATAAAACAAGGCTGAATTATTTTTATTTTTTGTTTAATTTTTTAAAAAATTGTATTGATATTTCTTTGAAGGGCATACAATTAAAAAATAATCACTGGGTTTGTTTTTAAGAAGTAAATACATCCATGTAACCAGTATACAGATTGAGAAAGTAAATGTAGCCAATACCCTCAAGAAATCACCTTCCATTCTATTAAGCTGCTGGATTTTTAAGCTGAATTTTTCTTCACACATGTCTTAGCCTATCTTATCTAATGTACAATCCAAATTGAACTTAATGTAGTTTATTTGTTTTCAAAGCCAACAAAATTTTTCCCACCAGGAGTACACTAGGGTAAGTTCCCAATAGAACACATATATACGTAACATATTATTGTTGTTGCTAATTAACATTTATCAAATATTTAGATGCCAGGCACTGTGCCAAACATTTTACTTGATGATAGCACAGATAACAATAGGGAAAATATCTCCCAGTCACTGGGCTAATGATCACAGTTTGTCTTAATATTCCTAAAAAGAAAAATCTTGAAGTTAATGCTACTCATTTTACAGATGGGAAAACTGAGGAGGTCACCTGACTTGATAAAGCCAATCTTCAAAGAGAGGATGATCTAACCCTGTAGCATATTCTCTGAGCTACTATTTTGTAGCTTTTCTTGGAATTGGGACTCCACACCATGCTGTGCAAAAATGTGGATTCTGCTATGCTGGGGGTTTGGGTCTAAGTTTGGAGGCTTTTCTTAGCCCATGAATGACAGGGAGTCCTTAACAAATTCCTCTCCCTTCTGGCCTCTGATTCTTCTCCTTCTGGATCTGTGTAGGCAGATTCAACCTTGACTAGTGATGCCCAGTGTCAGGTCCCTGGACACTTAGGGTCAGCAAAGCTGGAATTTGTGAGCTGCTTTTCCCCAGCGGTTATTAAAAGTTTCAAAAAACATAAAATTTGAAGAGTGTTATAACAGACATCTGTATACTCTCCTCCCGCATTTATGAACATTTTGTCATATTTGCTTCCATCTCTCTCTTTCTCTTTCCCTCTCTCACACACCCACATATGCACACACATACAGGGATACACACACATAT